GCTCTAAACCTAAACTAAACTATAACTCATTTGAAAGTCTTGTTCTTAGTCTTTCGCACCCAAGTTGGAAATCACTGCAACCAATTCTTTTTGTTATAGTGTACCGAGCACCTGGCCCGTACTCTGAATTCTTATCTGAATTTGCAGAGTTTTTGTCAACTTTAGTCCTTAAAACGGACAAAGTTATTATTGTAGGAGATTTTAATATTCATGTGGATGTTGAGAATGACAGCTTTAGTACTGCGTTTATCTCTCTGTTAGATTCCATCGGCTTCTCTCAGAGTGTTCATGAACCGACTCACTGTTTTAACCACACCCTCGACCTTGTTTTGGTGTATGGTATTGAAATTGAACATTTAGTGGTGTTCCCACAGAATCCCTCTTTATCCGACCACTGTTTGATAACTTTTGAGTTTGTATTGCTGAACTACTCGCCATTGGGCAAAAATTTCTATACAAGATGTCTGTCTGATAGTGCCATAGCTAAATTTAAGGATGCGATTCCATCAGCTCTAAATACATTATCTAGTCACAAAGTAACGGAGGACTCCTATGCTAATTTCAGTCCCTCCCAAATCGATCATCTTGTTGATAGTGCTGCAGGCTCGCTGCGAATGACACTCGACTCTGTAGCCCCTCTAAAAAAGAAAATACTAAAACAAAGACGGTTAGCTCCATGGTATAATACTGAAACTCGCAAATTAAAGCAAATATCACGGAAACTTGAGAGGAATTGGCGTTCTACCAAAGTGGAAAATTCTCGTTTAATTTGGCAAGATAGTCTTAAAACTTATAGGAAGGCCCTCCGTAATGCCAGAGCAGCGTACTACTCGTCATTAATAGAGGAAAATAGGAACAACCCAAAGTTTCTTTTCAGCACTGTAGCCAGGCTGACAGAGAGTCACAGCTCTATTGAGCCAAGTATTCCCATAGCTCTCAGTAGTTACGATTTCATGAGCTTCTTTAATGATAAAATTCTAGCTATTAGAGACAAAATTCACCAAGACCTGCCCTCAATTGGCACCGACTTATCTCTTAACTCAGGAACCTTAGAAACAGCTGTAGAACCAGATACATGTTTAGACTGTTTTGCTTCCCTCAATCTTTACCAACTAACTTCAATAATTTCTTCATCTAAACCATCAACCTGCCTCTTAGACCCCATCCCGACTAGGCTGCTTAAAGATGTTTACCCTTAGTCAGCACCTCTATACTAGATATGATCAATCTATCTTTATCAACAGGCTATGTACCACAGTACTTTAAAGTAGCTGTAATTAAACCTCTTCTGAAAAAGCCCAAACTTGATCCGGATGTTTTAGCCAACTATAGACCTATATCTAACCTTCCATTTCTCTCTAAGGTTCTGGAGAAAGCAGTTGCTAAACAGCTGTGTGACTTTCTACAGAGCAATAGTTTATTTGAGGATTTTCAGTCAGGATTTAGAGCTCATCATAGCACAGAGACAGCACTGGTGAAAATTACTAACGACCTCCTTATTGCATCAGACAAAGGACTTGTCTCTGTACTGGTTTTATTAGATCTTAGTGCTGCATTTGATACCATTGACCATCAGATCCTATTGCAGAGACTGGAATATTTCATTGGCATTAAAGGAACCGCTCTAAGCTGGTTTAAGTCCTATTTATCAGATCGATTTCAGTTTGTACATGTTAACGATGAGTCCTCCATGCATGCCAAAGTTAGTCATGGAGTTCCTCAAGGATCTGTCCTCGGACCAATCCTCTTCACTTTATATATGCTTCCTTTAGGCAATATTATCAGGAAACATTCCATAAGCTTTCATTGTTATGCAGATGATACTCAGTTATATCTATCGATCAAGCCAGATGAAACTCATCAGTTAGCTAAACTTCAAATGTGCCTTCAGGATGTTAAAACCTGGATGACCTGTAATTTTCTCATGTTAAACTCAGATAAAACTGAAGTTATTGCTCTGGGGCCTAAGCACCTCCGTGACGCATTATCTAAAGATATAGTTTCCCTGGATGGCATCGCCCTGGCCTCCAGCACCACTGTGAGGAATCTTGGAGTTATCTTTGATCAGGACATGTCGTTTAAGTCTCACATTAAGCAAATTTCAAGGACCGCCTTTTTTCACCTACGTAATATTGCGAAAATCAGGAACATCCTGTCTAAAAATGATGCAGAAAAACTAGTCCATGCATTTGTTACTTCTAGGCTGGATTACTGCAATTCCTTATTATCAGGCTGCTCGAAAAAGTCCATTAAGACTCTTCAGCTGATCCAGAATGCTGCAGCACGTGTTCTGACAGGAACCAGGAAAAGAGATCACATTTCTCCTGTTTTAGCTTCTTTGCATTGGCTTCCAGTAAAATCCAGAATAGAATTTAAAATCATTCTTCTTACCTACAAAGCTCTTAATGGTCAGGCACCATCTTATCTTAAAGAGCTCATAGTACCTTACTACCCCACCAGAGCACTGCGCTCCCAGAATGCAGGGTTACTTGTGGTTCCTAGAGTCTCCAAAAGTAGACTAGGAGCCAGAGCGTTCAGCTATCAAGCTCCTCTCCTGTGGAACCAGGTTCCAGTTTGGGTTCAGGAGGCAGACACCATCTCCACATTTAAGAGTAGGCTTAAGACTTTCCTCTTTGATAAAGCTTATAGTTAGGGCTGGCTCAGGTAGTCCTGAACCATCCCTTAGTTATGCTGCTATAGGCCTAGACTGCCGGGGGATTTCCCATGATGCACTGAGCTCCTCTCTCCTCTACTTTCTCTCCCTCTGTATGCAACCTTATCCCATTATTGCATGTTACTAACACAACTTCTCCCCTTTCTGGTAGTCTTGTGTTTCTCGTCTCTCTCCTCTCTCCTATCACTTCCTGCAGGTTTTCTGGCTCTGGAGCTGTGGAGTCTGGAGCTGTGGCTGCGGGTCACCTGCTGCCCCCGTGTTCCTGCTCGACACCCTCTGCTGCAACGACTATTGTTGCTAGTCTTATTGTTATTATTGTTATTATAATCATTAACATTACGATGGTTACCATTAACACTATTATAAATATCTGTACCATTTTTCATTTAGTCTATAGCAACATTACCTTCACTGTGTGTACCTCTGTGTGTATATTGTGTAGGCTGCCTCCCTCCCTCTCTCTCTCCTTACATCTCTCTCTCCTTACTCTCTCTCTCTCTCCTTACATCTCTCTCTCCTTACATCTCTCTCTCTCTCTTACTCTCTCTCTCTCTCTCTCTCACCCCAACCGGTCGAGGCAGATGGCCGCCCACCCTGAGCCATGGTTCTGCTCGAGGTTTCTGCCTCTTAAAAGGAAGTTTTTCCTTGCCTCTGTCGCCTAGTGCTTGCTCTTGGTGGGAACTGTTGGGCTTCTGTAAATAACATCACAGAGTACGGTCTAGACCTGCTCTTTTATGAAAAGCGCTGTGAGATAACTGTTGTTGTGATTTGGCGCTATATAAATAAAATTGAATTGAATTGAATTGAATTAAGTTAATACTTTGTAGCGCCACCTTTTGCTGCGATTACAGCTGTAAGTCGCTTGGGGTACGTCTCTATCAGTTTTGCACATCGAGAGACTGAAATTTTTGCCCATTCCTCCTTGCAAAACAGCTCGAGCTCAGTGAGGTTGGATGGAGAGAGTTTGTGAACAGCAGTTTTCAGTTCTTTCCACAGATTCTCGATTGGATTCAGGTCTGGACTTTGACTTGGCCATTCTAACACCTGGATATGTTTATTTGTGAACCATTCCAGTGTAGATTTTGCTTTATGTTTTGGATCATTGTCTTGTTGGAAGACAAATCTCCGTCCCAGTCTCAGGTCTTTTGCAGACTCCATCAGGTTTTCTTCCAGAATGGTCCTGTATTTGGCTCCATCCATCTTCCCATCAATTTTAACCATCTTCCCTGTCCCTGCTGAAGAAAAGCAGGCCCAAACCATGATGCTGCCACCACCATGTTTGACAGTGGGGATGGTGTGTTCAGGGTGATGAGCTGTGTTGCCTTTACGCCAAACATAATGTTTTGCATTGTTGCCAAAAAGTTTGATTTTGGTTTCATCTGACCAGAGCACCTTCTTCCACATGTTTGGTGTGTCTCCCAGGTGGCTTGTGGCAAACTTTAAACGAGACTTTTTATGGATATCTTTAAGAAATGGCTTTCTTCTTGCCACTCTTCCATAAAGGCCAGATTTATGCAGTATACGACTGATTGTTGTCCTATGGACAGAGTCTCCCACCTCAGCTGTAGATCTCTGCAGTTCATCCAGAGTGATCATGGGCCTCTTGGCTGCATCTCTGATCAGTCTTCTCCTTGTAAGAGCTGAAAGTTTAGAGGGACGGCCGGGTCTTCGTAGATTTGCAGTGGTCTGATACTCCTTCCATTTCAATATTATCGCTTGCACAGTGCTCCTTGGGATGTTTAAAGCTTGGGAAATCTTTTTGTATCCAAATCCGGCTTTAAACTTCTCCACAACAGTATCTCGGACCTGCCTGGTGTGTTCCTTGTTCTTCATGATGCTCTCTGCGCTTTAAACGGACCTCTGAGACTATCACAGAGCAGGTGCATTTATACGGAGACTTGATTTCATACAGGTGTATTCTATTTATCATCATTAGTCATTTAGGTCACATTGGATCATTCAGAGATCCTCACTGAACTTCTGGAGAGAGTTTGCTGCACTGAAATTAAAGGGGCTGAATAATTTTGCACGCCCAATTTTTCAGTTTTTTATTTGTTAAAAAGGTTTGAAATATCCAATAAATTTCGTTCCACTTCATGATTGTGTCCCACTTGTTGTTGATTCTTCACAAAAAATTACAGTTTTATATCTTTATGTTTGAAGCCTGAAATGTGGCAAAAGGTCGAAAAGTTCAAGGGGGCCGAATACTTTCGCAAGGCACTGTAAATGTGCCTTAATGCTTTGTCATGTTTAGCAAGTGTGAGCTGTGGGGCTCAGTGTTTGTGTTGGACAATATATCTGTATACAGCCGTGTGTTCTGTTTCAGAACGGTGCTGATGATGTGAAGAAGCATCGCTGGTTCAAGACAATTGACTGGGAGGCAGTTATTCTGAGGAAACTGAAGGTGAGAGACATTTTCAGAAGTGTTAAATTTAGTCTCTGCTTTCATGACTGAAAATCAGTTCAATTTATAATTCAGCAGTTTGTGACTGGTCCATGGAACTTGCCTGGCATCGGCAGACAAATTTGAAATGCTCATATTTAATTTCCAAGGGTGTCATCAGCAGGTGCAGACCAAAATGCCTCTGGATGCAATTGGATAGACATACAACCAATCAGAGCAACAAGATTGCAGCCTGGTCACAAACTTTATGAAATTACAGCAACTGTTCACAAAAATGTGTTTCTAAAAGCTTTTGAAGCAGGAAACAGAATCTTGATTCATATATTAGCATGGCTTCAACCAGTCAAACAGTCAGTTAAACTGTTGTGATTGGATGGATGGGTGGAAATCTGTCTGAACGGGAGAGGGGCCAGACAGATCTGCCAGAGTGAATGAAACGAAAATGAGCTCGCAGATTCAACCGGCTCGCAGATTCGACTGGTTCCCAGGATACAGTGTAGACTTATCAGTTAAATTTTCCATTAAAAAAATCTTGAATTCAAATTTCAAAAAAAAAAAAAGTTTTAAATCCGATAAAAAAAATATAATTAAAATTAAGATTTTGAAATAATTTAGTCTGGTGGATAAAATAAAGCCATACATGGCTCTCAGGCTTTATGTCTTTCTTTTTTTACATGCTATTTGTAGATGCGCCCTTATGTCCGTCGTATGCATGTAGTAGAAAGATGGAGTATAACGTAACAGGAGCTAATGGAAGCAGATGAATGCCGTTTAGAGACCAACGGATGAACCACTGCTAAAAAAAAAGTTTGAAAGATGGTTGTATTGGATATTCTGTATGGCTTTGAAAGTTTGCTTGGACTTGGATACAGTCACCAGACAATGGTTTCTGGTTGAGGAAACGGTGCGTTTTTCTGCCATTTGGACCTTTCAAGCTAACGTGAGGGCACATTAAGAAACAATCAGATTTTGTGTTCTTTCTGAAACAGATAATTACATCTGGGTCATAGCTTACAGCTCCCTAGGCTATGTTTTTAGCATCTTATACTATTGTCGCTACATCCTGCACCCTCGATACTGGGCATGTACAGCTCTCAACAGATATGAGAAGGTTAGCTAGTCCCAAACCCTATCCTAGATCATTACTACAACTAGTGCTCACTTTGGTGGAGACTCCCTTTTGTGTTTTAACAGAGGAACTACACTTTCAGATGCACAGCTTTAAACCATTGCATAATCAACACATTACAGGCACACACATTTTCCTCGCCTTAAGCCCTGTTAGCTGCTTTTTTGTTAGAATTCCATTTCATTTGAGTGCTGTTAAAGTGGTCTTATTTAAATTCCATGCAAAGAATAAATCACCCTTATTAAGGACATTGCATCTACATGAACACAGTATTATATTAGTTGAGTTTATTTGTCAGGGAGAATGGTCATGATACAACAGTAAAGAGAAAAATGTTCCTCCACATCCAGCTAGCTTTACTATTTCAGACCTGCACTTGAACTTGTACTAAATGTTTCACTGTCTTCACAGCCTCCCATAGTTCCTAAAGTTTCCCACGAGGGGGACACCTCTAACTTTGATGTTTACCCAGAGGAAGACTGGAAGAAAGACCCTCCCGTGCCTCAAAAGGACTTAGAGATCTTCAAGAACTTCTGATCGCTCGGCTTGGTTATTTATTGATGGAGCATCCGGAGAATTGACACAACATATTATATAGTTACTGTTACAGGTACTATCATAGAGAAACACCTTATTTATCATAGCGGAGGAGTCACATTTTATCTGTAATAATGGTCTCCCCAAAGACAAACTCCAAATGATCAATACTGTGACATGTATCATACCACAGAAATGATTTGCTTTTTATATTTTTATTTATCTGACTAAAGTCAAACCTTTGCTGTTTTCATTTTTTTATCACGTTTTTTTCTCTGAGCCTTATCATGCAAAAAAATCTGGTTACTTTGAAACCAAAAGACTGTTACTTTCTAAAGAGAATAATCAGGTCTTTTTTTAATATGATCATGTTTCATTTTTTCTCTCTTTTTAAAATGCTCATGTAGTCATATTAATGTAACTCCAGACTGGTGCTGTAACTGTCAGCTGGCCTGTAGTCATTAATGTGCGGTGTTCCACTTGTTATACTGTATGGTGGTCATGAGTCAGACACTTTATTTGAAAATGCGTGACCAAGTGCACTTGTAAAAAGGTGCCTTACATCTCAGTTTGACAGGCATGATTTCTCGCAGTTACATAAATTTCACTTGAAGTAGTGCTTTCCTCAGCGCTCTGCACAGCGCTAATGGAAGTGAAATCATGTGAGGTGCTGTTGTGGAGAACAGGCTGCTGGATCTGCTGCCACATCTCTTGCTGTAAAGTTGTTGCTGTTGTGTTATTCCCTGCTGTAGGTCAACAATAGGTTTATTTACAGCCACAGGACGTAGTTATTACCATCAAGTCACAGCTGTTTTACAATTTAGACTTTCCCATGACCCTTTGTGCTCATTCACTTCACATATCATCATTATCATTGATGTCATGCTTTAAAGTCAAGTGAGGTGAAAGGCGCTGAGCATGGGACCTAATCAATATTTAACTTCCTACTGTATATAGCTACATCACAGTTGATCTAGTCAATATTCATCCACTTTCAGTTTACTTTGTAGTCCAGCTTTAAGTGGGTAATTCAGGACACTATTGGCCTTTAAAATAAACGTCATTTGATTTTGTTCACTGCCATTAAAATCCAAGTGATGATGTGATTTTTTTTTTCATTATAGAACTACTACCCAACTAACATTATCTCACAGGTGGATCTTTACACCACAAACAGGGCTGTGTTGGCGGGGGCGCGATTTTTCAGGTCCCGCTGACACCATGCAGCAGCTTTGGTCCTCTGTCAGTGGTCGCGCACAGAATGCTGCTGTGTGATCACATGTTCTGGCAGGGCTCAGAGCCCGGTGGACAATCACTACTTACTTTCACTAAAAGGAATAAAAAGTGTGATAAGTCACTTTAGGGTCATGGCTCTATGTAAAGTGAGAGCTGTTATGTGGCTTGAGCAGAGGATGGAGTGATAAATTCACAGGGTTTTAAGGAAAACTACGTTTTATTCACATTATAGTTCATCATGTTTTACAAATGATTGTTGCTCAGTCAATCAAAATTGCTCCTGTGATTTAGTTTGCAGCTGTTCTAGAGCATCTTATGTGCCAAAAAGATCCTGGGCCTGTGCTATGAAGTGAGCTTAACAAGGTAATGTCAGGGTTAACTCTGGGTTTTCAGTCCTACAACGGTGCTTCACTTCTTACTGGGTACGTTGCCATGGTAACTGAAGCTGAATGACTAACCTGCTCCGGAGCAGCTCATGTTGGAGATAAGAGATCAGCAATATAAAAGCACCGCCTACTGACCAATCAGTTATCCTGGGAAATGTCGTCACCATCTGTAGGAGACTGTTTTTATATGCTGCTTTTATGCTGTGAGTGATGTCCGTTTTATTTTTATGCTAGGCTGAATAATTTGAGCCTATATTTTGGTGCTCAATAAGTTTAATATAAATAAGTTTATTATCACTTTAGGTTGGATTTATTACTTGTATAGAGACTGTTCATGTAGCACCCACCTAACTGCTATCTGAGCAGCTAATGAGGTGAGTTTTAAGTAACTGTTTCACCACTATTTGAGCACTTTTTATGGCATGAACACATTTTTGGTTTTGTTGCTTTATAAAGCTTTATGCTTAATGCGCATTAAATAAATTAATCTGGAATGATGAGAAGTTCTTAAAGTTAGTTGCTCAGTCCCTCAAGGCTTTTAATGTAGAAACTTGACACACAGCCACTGCAGCTGAAAGAATAAGGCTACTAAAGCATGCATGTAAGGAACACGTTCATTTAATTGAACACACAGATGTAATTTTAGTCAGATCTCCTGGTGCCCTGATGATGCACACTGATATCAGCCTGATACCTTCCACATTCACACAGTGGGAGATGTTCAGTCGTCCTGCATGTGGCAGCTGCAGCTGCGATGCTTTCAGCTGGATTACGTGTTAATCTTCGTATCTGTCTAATATTGTTTGCTGTTTGTAAAATATGCTGCTCTGCTGCCAGTAGACCTGTCCTTGTCTGCCATTGGTCATCTGCTGCAAACAGTGGCTCTTTTATGTGAACTGCCAGTAGACCTGTCCTTGTCTGCCATTGGTCATCTGCTGCAAACAGTGGCTCTTTTATATGAACAGGGAAACCCTGGGTTGATGTACTGACCAAAGAGCCTGATGGCAGCCATTAGGGTTAATGAAGCCAGATAACGAACATATATGTGGGAATGTTGAACTTGTTTCGTAGTAAATGCCTCTGGTCAGTCCTGGATTTTGATGGCAGATAATCTTCTTTTAACAAATAAACACATGACATCGGGTAGGCCTAAACATTTTTGAATAAGATGGAGATGACACATGTAGTGTGTGGGACATGTTAGAGTGAAAAATAAAATAAAACGACACCAAAGTAAATATAATCATAAAACTGAAATTCAATTAGTGACAATAACAACAAGATATGTAGTTGAAAGAATATAAATCAGCCTATTTTAATCTGTATTCAGCAATTATCTCAAGGATGAGACTTTCTCCTAACTGTCCGAGTTAGGAGAAGCCAAGAGTAATTCATAAAGCATTTTTACACTAAAAGCAGCTCCAGTGTGAGACGTTAGAGGGGAATCAGAGGATCATCAGTCCGTTCACTGTATGCCTTCCACCCTGTCTGCATTGATGAACATTTTATTTCCCATTCTCTCACAGACCAGTCCCCTTGTCTGTCATCGAGTCTCTGTGCTGTGAAGAAGCCCATTCATGAAACACAATGTCAACCATGCTCCTTCTCAGTTCCTGAGGTGTCCTTCAGCAGCTGATCTAGCATTGCTCTCCTGCACCGCCTCACTTCAGGTCTTTAAAAAGTCAATCAGCAGAACCAGAGATATTCAACACATTCTTCCTTGTCAAAACCTGGTGCATACATTACCCACATTGCAACTCCGCAGGCTGGCAGCTTGGTCGGAGATTTGGCTGCATTATGAATAAGGTAGTAGAGCTAATGGAGCCTCAGCTGCAGCCCACACTGACTCAAGTGACATCATATGAGGACCTTTATCAGACTCCACACAGCTCCCTCTGAGACACTAAAGGCTTTTGTCAAATACTGTATACAGTAGTCCCAACACCTGGAAACACATTAGATGTTACCATATCTTTGACATTTATTGTTACTAATCAGATGAATACGCTTAAATTTTCTACGCCACTCCTGGGAAAAGGTCAAATTCAGTATCTGCATAAAATACCAAATTCTAGTAACTGCATATTGGATCTATTTCCAGTGTGCTCACAAATGCATACCAGTTCAAAGGTAAGTACATCAGTACCTCCTCCCTTCTACACTGAACGTGCAGTGTAGTATGCGCACACACAAAACATCCTTATGCATTTCCAGCACATTCACTAGCAGCTCTGTGTGTGTGTGTGTGTGTGTGTGTGTGTGTGTGTGTGTGTGTGTGTGTGTGTGTGTGTGTGTGTGTGTGTGTGTGTGTGTGTGTGTGTGTTTATATGTGGCTTTTAAAATGTAAAAAGAATCCTCACCACTGTTCACATGCCTGGAATATCACACACCACCTGATATGTAAAGCTTTTTCTGCTGAGTAAAAGAACCTCGACTGCTCTCAGTATGGTGCTCCTGGTGCTTTAGAGCAGGTTTTGTACAATGCATGTGCTGTCTGTAACCTCAAGCCCAATTATGTCTTACTCAGCACTATGTATTATATTTCTCAGATGTTTGTTTTGTCAGTGTAATTGTTTTCTACCCAGTACTTAACAATGCCTTTTAATATACAGTAACACCCTTTATACCTTGAATAATGGAACTTTAAGCAGTGCCACATGTTTGTACAAAGGAAACCTGGAAATGTTTGAAAAACTGGAAGTGACAAGAAAGAAACACGCTCTCTTTTCTCCTCTGCTCTTGCCTGGTCTTTCCTGTCCTCACTCGTTCCACATTTTGCAATCGCTTTGAAGGTCAGACGCCGCCCTGTGTAGACAACCAAACCTCATTCTGCTGATGTTTAAATCTTCTCTAGTTCAGCTCTCTGCTCTCAGCTCTCTGCACACACTGTGTGGGGCTGCAGCAGAGAAGAGCAGGAGCCAGCACGGAGTTCGATAACAGGCTGCTATGATCTGCCGGCGGGTGTCTTCTCCACACAGGGAGTGAAAACATCATATAGTGATTAATATTCAGTCTTTTGCAAAGTTATGGGCAACATGTTTGGCAGTTTGAACACTGTCTGTACATCGAGCAGACATAGAGCCACATTAACATTCATTTGCAGTTGTGTTCCTCACTCTCTTTTAGGCCTGATTTGGTCTCCTGAATGCTCCACTGTGTTCACCAGCTAGTCTCTAACTGTGTCTGTCTCCTTTTTTTTTGCTGCAGAGTAGGTTATATACAGTGGGCTTAGCAGTTCATTTCAATTTTATTTCTATAGCACCAATTCATAACAGAAGTTATCTCACTGCAGTTATATAGAGCAGGTCTAGACTGTACTCTTTGTAATACTATTTACAGAGACCCAACAATTCCCACCATCAGCAAGCACTTGGCGACAGAGGCAAGCAGGTAGAAACCTAGACAGAACCATGACTCCAGGTGGGCAGCCATCTGCCTCAACTGGGAACTATGCTGATGGGAGTGGAGCCTGCGGGCCAAACAACCATAACAATGAGCTGCAAAGAGGCTGAAAAGCTCAGCAGAGCTGGCGTTCATTTTCTGTGTTCATCAGTGGTATTCAGATGACGTGGATGGAAAGGAATGAATTACAATTTCTGTTTCAAGTACATGAGAGTAGTATATAAATGTTGGCAATGCGAGCTCCCGCGAAATGCGCACGATGCACGTAACAGGATTGCATGTGAAAAAATTAATAACGTTAATAAAGTTGAAGATTATAACGGAGAATAAATAAATAAGGTAATTATAACAAAGGTGAATAAGTAAAGGCACTAATTAAAATATATACATTTATGTTGTTACGTCCCGAGGTGTCTAGGGATATAGGGACATAAACATAAACCAGATGTTGTTGGTTTGAAAGGATATTTATTTGAAATAACGCAAGTGGAGCACAAACAGAGGATGGGCCAATGGGTGCTGTGGAAATCAACAAACAATTATAACAAAAGGAGATCCTCAAAAGGAGGATTACTGCTTACAGAGGTACTAACAAAAACAAGAATAAACCAAAAGCTCACTAACCTACAGCATTTGAAAAAACACAAAACACAAAGCGCACAGCACCCCTGAACCTGGTGAAAACTAACATAAAACAACTATGGTGTGTGCAAGAAAGGTGTCAGTTATATCTAAGCTTAAGCCTGGCCCACTCTCTTACCTTCACACAGTGAAACACACAAAGTCAAGACACAAAGTCTGGCACGGGTTACAAAACACTACTACAAGCTCTATGACATGCGTTCCCAAGGCAAGCAACTCGGGTCAGATTGCTGCCTCCAATGGCAAACCCGGCAGGCTTTTAAGCAGGTGGTGGTTGTCACTGTCGCCCTTTGATTGGCCCGTAGAGCATGCCGCACCAATCGAGGGCATGGTCACTGGAAACCCAGGAAGTAGGCGGGACCTTCTCTCCTTGTGCAGCCAATCCTCCGCGTGGGCTTGCACAGCCTGCTCAGCATACCCGATAGCCTACTTAAAAGCAC